GCTGCGAGCCGGTCCTGCAGGCAACCCGTATAAGAAGGACGCACGATACGGATGCAAAGGTCTTGGGCGCCCAGGGCGAGGCTCTTCGAGCGGGGCTGGCCATCGAAAGTGGCTGAGGATGGACCGAAGATGGCCGAAAGGTCAAGGATGCAAGGGTATCCTTGGAAAGTTGCTCATCCCATCTATGCGGGTCGACTGTACTCTCTCTCTCTCTCGCGCTCTTTGGCAAACCGAGCTGCCTCCAAGCCTGCCATCGCTCGGACGTCTATTCACTGTGCGTTTCTCGGCTTCGTGCGTTTATTGTTCCGCGGGATGATCCACAAGGCTCCTCGAAGGTCCTCGCCGAGAACAAATGCTCACGTCCAGGCGATGCCGAGCAAGCAGCAGCTTCTATCGATTGATGCAACGTGCAATTCAAGCGCTGGCGCTCTCGAGCATCTCGCGCTCTCCAGCGCGGTGCACCTGCCAAGCCTCGTACGCATTCGGGCACCATGAACCTAGACCGCGGACGAACTGAATGCAATATGTTGCGCGGCGTTGCAGGTGCGCAAACAGACGCAACAAATAGTTGTCTACCTTGTAGACCGGCCTTTGTCCGACAAAGGAGTGGCGGGTTGGGCGTGTCCCGCATGGCTCAAATGCATCCACCACCATTCCGTAGGTAACGTTTGGGGTATCATCAGGCACCCTGGAGTCCTCAATGTTGAATGTTAAAAATAATAATATCGCCCAAACACAGGCCGCTGGCCCAAAACTCGCGGGTCTCCACAAACGCTTCCAAGCGCTTCTGGAACTCGGGTCGTGACTTTTCCCGAGGCCCTGGGCACGTTGTCGGGAAGTCTAACTTCGAGGTTGCCCCATGATGGTCCCAAGGGGCCGCCCTGGAGACGTCTTGGCGTCCTTCTGGGCCCTTCTGGCCGCCATCGGGGCGGGCCCGAGGGGCCAAACTCATTGAGACGAACGCGGTTCTTGTATGCGTTTCGGAGACCGTGTCGTTCTGTCATGCGAGCGCCCACGGCGGTCCAAGAGGCCTCCACCACCCGCCCCCTGCCAACGCTCGGACGTTCATTCCCCGTGCATTTCTCGGTTTCGTGCATGGTTTTTTCCGCAAAATGGCCCAGTATGCTCCTCGATGGCACTCGCCGAGAAAAAATGCACACGTTCGAGCGATTCTAGGGCCCAGAGGGCGTCCGAGGTCTGCAGCGGGGGGGCAAGAGACGCTCAAGAGGCCCCCCAAAGAGCAGGAGCCAGTCTCCCCAAGGGAGCCCCGAGACCACCAGCATGTCCCCGAGAGCGGTCTCAAGAGGTCCTCAAGTAGCCCCCGCGGAGCCACCAGAGTGTCCCGAAGAGGCCTTCAAATAACCCCAAGAGTCCCCCAAGGGTTATGTTGATCCCATCGTACTTAAGAACCACATCACCAGAAATAAAATCGAGCACCCAGAAAAGTGTCAAAATGAGTACCGGAAGAGTGCCGAAACAGTGTCGAAAGAGTGCCTCCCAGGGCTCGACACGTGAAAACCCTCAAGTTCTGGGGTGTCTTGTTGGTGCTCGAAATTCATTCTGGTGATCAAGGCTAAAGTAGGTTGGAACATCATAACCCAAGGGGCCTGTCGTCCACGGTACCAGCACGCTGGCGGGTTGGACCGAAGGCCATTATATCCGCCACCCCCTGTTGCTTGCAAGAAGTGTTGTTGGCATGCCAAGTGGTAACAGGGTGAACCATTCCAGCAATTTCCCACTGAGGTCTCCACAGATCCCGCCTGTCACCCGAAGAACAAGCAAAGCGCGCAGGCAAAGGCCACCTTCAAGATGCCTCCAAGATGGCCTCCAAGACAGTCCAATCGTGTCCAATAGGCCTCCAAGTTCGCCCAAGACGCCTCCAAGACGTCCCAATATGGCCTCAAGACGGTCCACGATGCCCTCCAGACGGCCCCAGAGGCCCCGAAGACGCTCCAGGAGGGCTCCAATAGGACCTCCAGGAGACCAAATGCACTCATAGTTTGTTTGCAATGGCTTTCGCGTTCTCGCACTGTGGGGCATCTGACAGACAGCCCCAAAGGCATCTAATGTAGCCCCAAGACGGTCCCAGAAGCCCCCGAAAAGGCCAAACATAATGCAAAGAAACCCCAAGACAGCCAACGAGGCCCCCAAGACGGCCCCACATACCTTCAACACGGCCCTAAAGCGCCCAAATAAGGCCTCAACACGGCACAGAGCGGCCCCCAAGATGGCCTACGAGGCCCAGAACGCCTGTAGAGGCTTCCACCAGGAGATCCTCAGGAAGGCCCCACGAGAGCCCAAGGGGGCCCCAAGACGCCTCCTCGTTTTCCTCCTCCTCCTCCTCCTCCTCCTCCTTCTCTTCCTCCTCCTCCTCCTTCTGCAGTAGCCCCGGGGGTCCCGAGTCTGGAGGGACCCCTGGAGCTCCTGCCTCTCTCAGGGGTGCGCAAACATGGATTAGCAAGCCATGGATCTGGCGCGCGGTCGCCAGATCCATGGATCGAGGGAGGCGCCCACCCGGCCGGCGCCGCCTCGTCCGGCGGCGGAACTCCGCTACCTCCCACGGAAGCGGGACCCGTCGCTGATCCACGCCCCCTTGATGAATACCTACCAGACCACCCCGAATTTCGAGTTGGGGGGGTACGGGTTCCATGTGGAAATGGAGGGCAAATTGAGGCCTTCGGGTTGGGTTGGGGTGGTCTGGCAGGTGGTGACTTGACCCATGCTTGCCATCGCCTGACTCTCGCCGCCTCTCCCTCGTTTCTCTCGGGTGCCCCCCCATGAAGGGGCCCCGGGACACACACACACACACACACACAGATATATAGACACACATAACAGGATCCCCCATGTTTTCCTACATCTTCTCGGCTCTTGTCCTCCCCCCCACCTCCCATGTTTTCCCATCTTTTCCCCGGGGCATCGGCGATTCATTGTGTCTGTGTGTGCTTCTTCCCCTCCCGACCAGCGCCTTCCACCGCGGCCGCGGGGGGAGATCTCCGTGCTCGGCGTGCCGCCGCGGCGGCCCGGGGCGACCCGCTGCGCCCCTGCGAGCGGGGCCGCGCGCCGCGCCGCTCCGCTCCGTGCGGGGCCAGGAGGGGCTCTTGGCGCCCTGGGCGCCACGCCGTCGTCGACGTCGCCGCCCGATCCTCGCCGCTGGCCCTCGCCGATGCTCGTCGACGATCCTCGCCGCTGGCCCTCGCCCGATCCTCGCCGCCGGCCCTCGCCCGATCCTCGCCGCCGATCCTCGCCGACGTCATCGTCGAGTCGTCGACGGCGCCCCGGAGCCCCGGAGCCCCTGCGCGTGAGCCGCGGGGGGCGCCGCGCACCGCCGCCCACGGCGCGCCCCCTGGCGGCGAACGCCGCCGCCGCCGCCGCCGAGGGCGTCGGCCAGGGCCCGCCTGGCGGCGGGCCCTGGCCGGCGGGGCGACAGGCTATCTCGAAGTTCCCGGCCGTGGCCCAACAGCTCGGCCAGAGCACGGCCCAGCAGCTGGCCGCGCAGGCTTCTCTACAGGGGCAGGGGGCGGCAGTGGCTTGCAAGACGCGTGTTCGTTGTTGTGTGGTTGCAGGTTTCGTCGTGCTGCATTTCAGCAGCTTCAGATCTAGCCTTGACAAGCTACATGCGTGGCAGTCGCTTTAGATTCGGCTTTAGAGTTAACAGAACTTCGTTATCGCTTCAGCTGTCAGTCTAGCTTTTGCGTTGGTGTTCGGCCTCAGCTTGAGACTTGATGATGTCTTGGGTTTGAGCTTCCGATTTCAGGTACAACTTCGGAATTTTAGTTTGGCGTTTGGTCCCAGCTGTGCCTGCAGCACTAGCGTTGTTTTAGCCCCGAGCGCATCACGATGCTGCGACACTGCAAACACCACGATACCACATCTTGACATCGCGACAGATCGCGACGGACAACACCGTGACACCGCGGCACCTCTACACTGTAGCGTCAGGTGCGTCGCTTCCTTCGACTATGGGGACTCAACGGATATTGTGGGTGGATCTGTATTTCCAATTTTGCGTTGAATGCGTTTTTCGTCTTAGCACTCGCGTTAGCGGGACCTTCGAAAGTTCAGGTGCTGCTGCCACATAACGTACAACGTTAGAGTTGGGGTGGCAGCTTCATAACCATGCTCGGACCGTTGACCTGATTTTCAGCTTGCGCGCCTGCTCTTAGCGATCTGCGCGTAGACAGACAGACCATCAATCGCCATCGGGCCACCATTAAAACACTGTCGAAATTCGATCAGGACATCCTCGGAACACCATCGAAAAACCATCGGGACTCTATTGTGGCGTGTTGGAGACTCAATCCAGACTCCTTAGGGCACCATCGGAGCGACAGCATAACATATCGGAATGCGTTCATGACTTGGCCAACGCCCCGTGAAGACACAATCGGTATATCGCTGGGACGCCAACGTGACACCATCGAGACACCCCATGCCGCCGTCCGCTTAGAGGGTCAGCAGCAGCATTTCTTCAACACTAGGGTTAATGACAACACACACGCACAGAACGTCTCCCGTGATACGATACACACATCTAGATTTCCCAGTGTCTGCGGCGTCACAAGGCTTCCAAACATCACTACCTAGAACAAGCGAGGAGAGCAACTCCCGCTCACAATTAGGTATCATGTACAACTCACAAATGCTCACATGTGAAGCGCGCGCCCCCCAAAACCCCCTCTACCTCCTTCCACCCTTGGTAGTCTTCTGCGAATTGTAAACGGCAACATCGTGATACAAAAGAGACTTCCGCTTGAACCTAGACTGCGCCTGACAAGGCTTCGCAGCCAGCAGACTAGCCACTCATGATCATCTTCCTCCGCCACGTCCTCCTGCTCCTTCTCCTCCTCTTCGTCCTCCTCCTCGTCCTCTTCCTCCTCCTCCTCCTCCTCCTCCTCCTCCTCCTCCTCATCATCATCATCATCATCATCATCATCATCATCATCATCATCATCATCATCATCATCATCATAATCCTCCTCCTCCTCCTCCTCCTTCTCCTCCCCCCTCCCGTACACACAAATGGCGGCCACGCTGGCTGGCACCTGAAGCCACTTTCACGACGGGAGGTAGCCGCTGCGCCTTGCGCGGGGCGCCTTGACCCTTCCCGTCGGGGCGGGAAATGGAATGGGCTGGCCGTCTTTGAACAGCTGGGGCTTGTACTCGTCAGGCACGGACGAGTGCATCACCGGGCTGTTCCTGTATCGCTCCACGTGTGCCTCGACTCCCTGCACGGCGTCGCTCCACGACACCCTGCAGACCTTCTGGCTCCCAACGACACCTGTCCAGCCAGAGAACCCATCGAAATGTTCCGCGAAGCGCTTCGCATGCGCAGGGCTGACGAGGTTGACAAAGGCATAACCCAGGCCCACCTGCGTGTTGAAGTCCACGGGCAAGTATCCGCCACCGTGCCTTGAGCACGCAGTAGAGTGCCAAAACATCATCATACAACTGTGAATGGTAGGCGGATTGCATGGTGTTGAAAGCCCAGACCCCCCGATGTTCAAAACGTCCGTGGCGCCTCTGTGGGATATGCCGCGCCAGCCTCCCAGAAGCCAGCACCAGAAGTCACCGAGAGGTTCCGGTTCAAGCTTGGAGGGATCGGCTGGCGGTTCCGGGCGTTCGGCTGGTAGGGCGCCCGCGGCCGCTCAGTGGCCGCCCCGTGCGCTGGCTGGCGGTTCCAGGTTTTCTGGGCCAGCGGGCGCCCGTGGCCGCATTGTGGCAGCCTCGCGCGCTGGCCGCACTTGCTCCACATCGATTGCACGACACGGTTGCTTCACAACGCTTGCGCCACACAGACTGCACCATGCATCGTACCGGTTGCATCGTGCACCACAACTATTGCACCACAACTGTTGCACCACATGGATTGTACCGTATTCATTTCACCGTGCTCGCTGAGATCAAGGAACTTTGCCAACAACGTGCAGGTGGGAGGGTGGGCTGCTTGTACGAGCAGTGGAGCTGACAACCGTATGTTCCTCTCTCTAAAGATGAATCGACCCCCCTCGAGGCCGGGAAAATCGCCCACTGGAATCTTGCAATTCACATATGATCCTGCCTCATCGCTGATTTCCAGGCTCATCTTCAAAATTCCCCAACCAGTCCTTGCACCTAGGGGCTCTCACTTTTATTCTCTCAAGAACTGGGCTGGTGTGGCGGTCTGGCGGTTATGTTGTCGCCGTCGCCGCCCCGTCGCCGCCAATCGTCTGGGCCTGCGTGGCGGTCTGGCGGCTATGCTGTCGCCGTCGCTGCCCCGTCACCGCCTCGTCGCCGCTCGTCGTCTGGGCCTGTCTGGAGGTCTGACGACCATGTTGTCACTGTCGCCGCCCCGTCACCGCCTCGTCGCCGCCCGTCGCCTGGGCCTGTCTGGAGATCTGACGACCATGTTGTCGCCGTCGCCGCCCCGTCACCGCCTCGTCGCCGCCCGTCGTCTGGGCCTGTCTGGAGGTCTGACGACCATGTTGTCACCGTCGATGTCCCGTCACCGCCTCGTCGCCGCCCGTCGTCTAGGCCTGTGTGGCAGTCTGGCGGATATGTTGTCGCCGTGGCCGCCTCGTCGCCGCCACATAAGTTGCACCACATAGATTGCGCACCACATGCGGGACAACCTACATCGCGCAACATCGATCGCACACCACATATACTGCACCACATAGATTGCGCACCACAGACATTGAACACCACATATACTGCATACCATAGATTGCACCATATACATACACTGTATCATATAGGTTGCGCAACATACACTGCACGTTCTTTATTGCACACCATCGTTTGCGCCACATGTTTACAGGTTGCACAACATAGGTTGCACCACCTGTATTTCACAACATTGCTTGCACTACACAGGTTGCACAACATAAATCACACAACAAGGGTTGCACACCATACATTGCACCACATGGGTGGCTCCACATATAGTGCGCAATGTATATAGCACTTCGTAGAGTGCACAACATAGATTGATCCACATGTATTGCGCAATAGATCTTTTCCTTTTCTACTGTGAAATTCTGATCCACCACCACCACCACAATCCCCCCCTGGATATCTCGACCGCAAGGATATGTTGATTTACATGGGAGTCCGCAACATCGCTCATCTTAGAGATGAGCCCATCTCATCCCAGCCAGACCCGTTATCGACACCCCCATTCATCCCTGTCAAATGATGCGATGTGCGCACATTCGTTTACCAAACATCACCACTTATCAATAATCCATTTGCAACATGTTGCGCAACATCGACACACGCACGTCGTCGAACATGCATGCCGAAAATATTCGAGCACCTTGGGTGTCGCAAGGACTTCAAGATCGAGTGTCACGAAACATATACAGCCCAACGGTTTCGCAACATGGTTTTCAAAAAGGTCTGCGCGCGCGCTCTTGCGAAATCTTACGAAGCCCCTGCGACGACACCGCTGTTATCCTCATCGCCAATCCCCGCCATTGCCACCATCATCACCATGATCATCACAATCGTTCTCGTCAT